TGTCGTGACAGCTTATAACAGCTTCGACTTGCTCTTTCTGCACCTCAGCACAAAAGAAGGTGACAAATGAATATATTTACATCCAACACAAATTAGGTGACGAGAGATCTGCCAAACTATATATTTATGCTCCCACTTTCATTTTCCATTCGGGTTGTGGAGAGTTTTAAGGTTTCTTGCATGGAGCGAGCCTGAATTCCTCCTGTTTTTTTTTTTAAACCGGTGAAAATATTTAACCCAACAGCCTTCAAACGGCACCCTTCACCGCCGTGACCACTGTCCTTTTCTGCCAGAGGATGAWAACTCACAGAGACCACATGGTTGTAATTGCAGCCCTCCCAGTTTCCACTGAATAAAACACTCAGCACGCTGAGGCGGAGCAGTGTGAAAGAAAACGCTTCGAAACTTGAAGAAAGCCATACGTGGAGGAAAATAGTGAAGGGGATAATAAGCGAGTATAAGGTCAACAAAGTAAATGACAGCGGCCAAGCAGAGCATCTCTCTCTCTCTCATTCTCAGATGTTAATGCGAGTGACGGGAAGCAGATGTTTGGTCCGACAGGCAGGTCGTTTGGTCACGCAAGTTCACGGCGTTAACACTTGTCAAAGCCCAGTTCTCCACTACAGATTAGGCTCGTCCCTTCTCACACCATCCACACAGCCAGACGCCGCCTCGGAAACAAACACGCTTTGCCAGGAGGTTTTAACCATTTTGTCATCCGCTTCCAAGAAATTGCAAGTTCTGATTTTTCCAGTAAACGAGGACAGAAGAAACTCTTTTTTTTAAACCCAGGTTGAGCTTTAAAGTCCGAACAGACCCTGAAGTGTCCAGTGATTTATCTCGGCTTGGAGCAAAATGGGTTTTAAAGTCACGTTGTTGGACTAATGAAGTACGACTGAAGTGAGTGAGGATTATGGATGTTGGTTTAAGTGAGTCTGGATCTTAGTTTCATGAGAACAGATCAGCAGGCTGTCTCTGTGTAATGTCTCGCTGAGGAGATAATGGGAGTGGGTCTTCTGTGACACAACTGAGCTTAAAAAAACAAACATTATGATAAAACCTCTTTAGCAGTGGTGGGATGTAACAAAGTACAAGTACTTTGTTGCTGTACTTGAATACATTTTTCATGTATCTGTACTTTACTTAAATAGATTTCATCATGGGTACTTTTGACTTTTACTCCACTTTTACATTAAGTATCTGTACTTTCTACTCCATTACATTTCTGTAATAAGTTGAATTACAAATTATATTCATGTCACATCACATTATTATTATTTTATTTTTTGTTTGAAAGTAATCAGTGGTGAGAGGGGAATTGCTGTAATTGGTCCATTGAACCACCGCAAAACAGGAAAATACCATTAGACCCTCCTTTGGGAAAAGCGGAGCAATTCTGCATCACCTGCTGGAGCAGCAGCAGCAGCACGCCCAAAATGGATTCCACCATGAAGGAAATGTGCCACTCATGGCCTTATTTAAAAGACTTATTCAAGTTAATTGGTTCCAAAAACAACTTGTTAATATTTGATAAAGGATGTTGGTGGTGAATTCACAGCTTCTGCAGCTGTTGTCACAATATGTGATGATGYACAGAATCACAGGTCAGAGTGTGAACAGTGTCACAGAGGCTAAACACAAAAACATGCATTACCTGCAGCATTGTTCACTAAAATGACACCATTGATGTATTAAAATATACATACAGTAGGCACACTTCATGATATTGTAAACCATTAGGGAATGCATTAAGCAAGTACTTTTACTTTTAATACTTTAAGTATTTTTAAAAGCAAGTACTTACTTTTACTCAARTAAAAATGTTAATGTGGTAMWTTAACTTTTACTAGAGTRYRTTTTTGTTTGTTTATCTGTACTTTTACTTAAGTACAGTGTTTGAGTACTTTCTCCACCACTGCTATTTAGGATTCATTTTGGCCGGTTTCTGTTCCTCTACTGCTCTTTTATATTTACCAAACACTTTCATAAAATCAAGTTACATCTGAGAAACCATAGCTATAACTGAGACCTTTACCCAATATAACAGTATAAATAGTTAAGAGAACTTTATTGGGAGAATCATGAAAGCATCAGGTTTGATTTGTAAATTCACCTTAAATAACAGCTTTAGTGCRAAAATCTAGTGTAAAGTGGTTTGTGTGATGTGTTCTTATAAATAAATTGGACATTTACTTTATRAAATGGATGTCGAGGAACCAATATGAAGTTGCACATTAGAAAATGAATTTTATTGGGATTGTTTGGGGGATTTAGCTGCAGTTCTGGACTGTTTTTAGATTTTTATAAATTCTGTCACAATTGGTTTCTGAATAAAGCTTTGTATATTCTCATCATGCTGCCACTAAATTAGCATTTTTTTTCAACCCAGGCAAGCAGTAGAAATCCTGTCTTAGCTTATTACAGTATTTGGTAACAACAATAATCTCTTTTCAAAGAGAAGAATAGTACAATGTTAGCACAATGTGGATGTTTATATTTAGCCCACTTCTACAAGAACAATAACGTTAGCAGTATATCCAAATCTATTTTCCATCTAAACAGCTGTAAAACAATTAAACTGTGCCTTTAAGGGAAACTAAAAACCATTTTGTGCCATTTCTGTTTCATCAAAGCCTTTATCCTGTTGATGTCGAAGAAGGAAACCAAAGAAAGATTTTTGTTTCCCCAGTAGCAGAGTGTTGAAGCTGTGCAGCGAGATTATTCTTCTGCGCAGACAAAACACAGCAAAGATAGGTCTGGCTGTGCAAGACTAAATGATTTGAATATATTATCATCTTTAAATGAAACACATTTCTATGGCAGCAACTGACTGTTGTAATCATCACGTATTACTTTTACAGGGTAGCATTCGCTACAAGACAAAATTGCATCAATTTGCAACAGTTAAAAAAAACTGTTTTGCTGTAAATTTGCATTGAAAAACTCTTTCTTTTGAATAGTGACAAAAGCCAAAAGAGTTTGCTATTTTGAGATGGTAGAAACAACGTTTAGGGAGTAACACAAAGAAAAAAAAGGGAGCAATTTTACGTTTTTAATGTTAGTTAACAATAAGGTGTTACATCACACACCTCCTTTTGTTTTTTAGCTTTACTTAAAGAGATCCATGATTAGTTGTAACATTAGACTTTATTTAATAAACATATATGCAAAATAAAGACTGTAAAATACTGTAGGCTGTTTCGTTTTTATAATTTTTAAACTAAAAGTTTAAAAATATATTACACGGATGAGGCCATTTTATTTACACGCAAAGCATTCTGGGTAAACGATGACGTGGATAGGTCCTTGATGTGAGTGAGCTATATCCACCCTGAAGGTTAATCTTGGACAATATCTGATGATCGACTCTTTTAAATGAAACCAGAGAGCGTTGACAGAGAAGAGAAGGTAGAAATGACTCAGCCTGTAACTGGCTAACACTAAAGCTAACAGGCTAAGCTGAGGTTCTTCTTCCATGAAGCAGCTCTGTTGTCCTCCATCTATATTTTCAGTTACAGGCTGAGTCATTTCTACCTTCTCCTCTCTGTCAACGCTCTCTGGTTTCATTTAAAAGAGTCGATCATCAGATATTGTCCAAGATTAACCTTCAGGGTGGATATAGCTCGCTCACACCGAGGACCTATCCACGTCAACATTTACCCAGAATGCTTTGTGTGTAAATAAAATGTCTCCATCCGTGTCAAAATATATATTTAAAAATTATAAAAACTAAACATCCTACAGTATTTTTACAGTCTTTCTTTTACAGTTAAAATAAATGTTTATCAAATAAAGTCTAATGTTACAACTAATCAGGGATCCCTTTAAAGTAAAACACATTTTTACAATAAAAAATAAATGCTAAACTTATGAATAAACACCTGTCGACTGATGTAAAACTTTAATCTTCCTCACACTTTTTTCAGTTTTTATGGTCTCTTTGGGAGATAGAACGCACGCACAGAAGAATTTCAGAAATCTTTCATGTCTTCGCTTTCCCACAGTGAGTAAGATGTGCTCCGGTGTGGGACGACCAGAACTGTTCACATGTGACCTGAGACGAGCTCTGTGCTCTGGTTTTCGTGATGAGGTCCACCTGTCTAATCCTCTGTCTGTAGTTACTGATCTGTGTTAGCTGCAGGTCATGTGTGAATGGGTAATAAATCTTTTTGCTATGAAGTGGTGTGTTTAACCCAAAAGTCATCCAGCTGGGTTCGATGTCTAAATTTATCTGCTGTCTGGACACTTCTGGGTGAGTTCTGTTCCTCGTGTGTTAAGTGAATAATAGCCGATCCTTGTTTGTTGATCCAAATTGTTGCTCAGTAAAACATGTCGATGCTATTTTTATTGAATTAGCTTTCATTTTGCTGTATCACAGTGCGTCTTTTCCACGTTTTGGAAATGACACTTTGTAAGAATCTGATGACTCAGCTCATTGGATTTAGCGCCTAATCAGAGGCTTTTTAACGTATTCTCTGGGGATGGCAAGATGGGATCCAAGCTTTATGAAACGTTTCACATTTGTATCAATGAGAAGAAAAGGGTTTGGGTATTTCAGGCTCCTTTATCTGCTCTCATATCTTTTTCATTTCACCAGAAGGTTTTATCTGGGATTTAAAATGTGAATCCTAATCACTCCTCTAAAGCGTTTTCAGTCCAAGATTGTGTCTTTGGGAAGTATTGAATCTTGTTACTTCAGGCAACCATTTGTAGTCATTATGAATAGCAGTTCTATATAATGGGATCACTCTTCCTTCATTTGCATGTTTTTCATAAAATGATTTCAATCTCTAATCTGTTCGAATCCCAGAACACACAATATGTTTTAATCATTATGATTGAGTCATGTTTCTACTTTTGGATTTGTCAAATAATATAGACCTTTCACAACAGATTTAGTTTTTTTTTTAATAGAAACATGTTCTTACAAAACACCCAAGAATTTTTCTGCTTGTATTATTCTGCCGGTCTGAATGCCATTTGTGAATGTCTCTCTGCAGGTGTGATCCGTGAGAGCTACCAGAAGGGTCGTGACCAGCTGGTTCCTGTGACCCTGTTGGCCATTGCTGTCATCCTGGCATTTGCGATGGGCGCCATTTTCTCAGGCCTCATTGTCTACTGTGTGTGTGACCACCGGCGGCAAGATCTGGACATGACAGGCCGCAAAGAAAAGGACAACCTGCACCTTCACTCCCGCAGAGGCTCAATGAACAGTGTGACCAAGCTGTCCGGCCTGTTTGAGACGCAGGCCAAAGACGGTCGCCCGGAGGCAATCCTCACCCCTTTGATGCACAACGGGCGGCTGACACCGAATGGGAAGATGCTGATAAAAGCCGACCAGCACCACCTGGACCTTGCTGCTCTGCCAACACCTGAGTCCACACCCATGCAGCCACGTCGTAAGCCCAGCCGAGGAAGCCGTGAGTGGGAAAGAAATCAGAACCTCATCAACGCCTGCACCAAGGATATGCCGTCTATCGGCTCCCCGGTCATCTCCACGGACCTGCCCCTGAGGGCCTCGCCTGGACACATTCCCAGTGTGGTCGTGCTGCCTCTGCCGCAGCATCAGCACCAACTTCAGCCCCATCTGCAGCAGTCCTATCAGCACGAGTACGTGGAACAGCCCCATCACAGTGAACTGAGCATGGGCCATGGCATCATGGACGACCAGGGGGCCACGCTGGAGTACAAGGCGGCAAAAAGCCACATGATGGATCCAGATGGGTTGCTGCCACCTCGTGTGCCCCAACGTGAGGCATCTCTCACCGTCCCTCCTGCTGTCCCGCAGATGGGCAAACGCCTGGAGGTCCACTCGTCAGTCTACGGCCTCCGGAAAGGATCAGCATCTGCTGCGTCTGGATCCTCTGCCCTGAAGAAGCATAACACCAACTCTTCTAACTCCTCCCATCTGGCGAGACATCACAGCTTCCGTGTGGAGGCACCGCCACCTGCACCGCAGAGGGTGGACTCTATACAAATGACAGCACAGGGCATATCACTATCGCGGCAGCCTGGAGTGATCTCCTATGGCTCACTGCCTCGAACAGGCATCAAACACCTCAAGCCTGACGTCCCCCCAAAACCTTCTGTAGTCTCGCTGTCAACAAAAAACAAGTCCAGTGACTCCGGCACATAGTCCGCCTTCAGTCCATCAGTCCAATGTGAACAGACAGAAGGGAAAGGTGTTTTTCCAATAGAAGGATACAAACAGGGATTACTGTACAAYTTGCATCTCCTTTAGTGCTTTTATTTGTTTGTTTCCATGTTTTTGGTGTACATCATGGTGAAAAATTCAACACTTTTCCCCCCTAAAAGAAACCCCACTTCCTTTTTATATAAATATGTAAATATAAAATGGTTGTTGTCTGTTGTCCCTGTCGTCAAGCTCATGCTCTAACCAGCTCCCAAACAAAAAATGGGAAAGTGTGCTACTGAAAAATAAGACAAATCCTGTCCTGGATATTTCATGCTTTTTGGCACCTTGTAGCATTCAAGGTGGTGGCTCTTTTGTTTGTCGCGTCTTTGGCCACCAGGACTTGACTTGATACTCTATCACACCAATAAAAGCACATAAGAAGATGGCACGCAGGGCGGCAGGGTCAGGGGAATGATGGTTGTACAGTACCTTGACGACTGGATCGGAGTGGAGACGCGCTCCAGGAGATGGACTGAAAGGACAGGCGCCTGCCTGATTTCTATTGGAAACTGTGAAAAGCATCTCAGTGTTACAGCAATCAAGACCTGCCTGGGTTTGACCAAAAAAATAAAAAAAAAATAAAAACCTGGCCAGAAGAATCCTCTATTGTACTGGTAACTAAATATCATGTGACTGTTAATACTAATAGCCTGTTGTATTTATTTTTATTAAGTGCTTTTGAAGAAAAAAATAAATAAAAACAAACAAACTGACTTTCTAGGCTCGGGCAAAGAGAAGACAAAGAAGAAATCTTTTAATATTGAATATTCATGTGAGGAAACATATTTAAAGTCATTAAACTGGAGCCAGTAGAACTTTCTCATTGACTAAAGGTCCATAAAMGTCTTATTGTGTGATCAGTGGGACCTGCAGCTTGAGTCATACATGACCTCTGTGACGAGGAGGAGATATTTATTTAAACTGTGCCAGACCTGACTTTCATCTTTACAGACTTTATAGTTTTAGACTAACCATTAAAAAAAGACCTCCCCAATCACACCCTTTCACTCCTCCGACAAACACCCCACCCCCCACCCCCCTCCTCAACCAGCACTGTGGATTTTGTGAGTCAGAAACTTTCGTCCTGAGTGGCTTATCGGTGCCATCGAAGCTCACTGTTGCATGTTGCAGAAAAAGAAATAATACAAATAAAACAAAAGCAGCTGCAGCAACAGCGCAGGTAGAGGACAAACGTTCAAAAAGATGCTGTGGGTGAGGCCACGATGCCTCCGCGTTGGAACATATCGTCTCGTCTGGTGGCAGACAAGCAGGCGACAACCGAAAACATCTGTTTTGCCTGCTTCTTTTTCCACATGTAAATTTGTGCCTTACACCCTCAAGTAGTGACAATGTTTTCTTTAATAGCTGTTAACTTTGTGTCCTTGTTGTATTTTTTTTACTATTATATTATTATTATTTTCTTACGTCATGACATTTTCCTGGTTTGATATAAAAAAAATGCAATTTAAAGAATGTAGGTGTTGTTGTAATTCTGGTCCATAGACATTAACACAGTTTTTTTTCTTTCCTACAGATAAACACACATATAACACACACACATACACACACATCTTTGTGGTTCATTTCTGATTGTGCCATTAATGCGCATAAAGCAGCCCTTTCTGTTGTGCTGGAGTGTTGATGAATACGTTGTGTTTTTGATTTTCTGTTTTATACGAGCTAAACGTCATGGTGTGTGTTTCTACTCATTTTTGTTGTTTGTATGACGTGATGCTTGTTTGACTGAAAAACTGAACCCTTAACATTTGTTAGTCATCAAGAAGGCCAAGGTAAGTTTGTGATATATATATATANAAGCCCCTAAAGAAGACAATACTTATTAAGCATTCATTTGGTAGTCAGTTGCAACAACAGGCTGGTTCCTGTTAAAAAATATTTTWAAAAAAATCATGCTCTATATGCTCTATCATGCCCTTTTTTGTAAGGAAAAAAAATCAATTCAAGGAAGTTTAAAGGTTTTTTTTAAATTTTCTTCACTAACTCTCATTACCAAGGCCTTAGGAATAACTGAGAGTTAATATGAGCGTTTTTTGCTTTATTTTATTTGTACTCAGATATTTGGATTGATCACTTCTCCCCTTCACCTAAACACTTAAATCAATGGAGCACTCTCCTAGTGTTGTGTGTGTTGAAAGGTCAAAGTTTTATTGATGTCAAGCATTATTTTTTATTTTTATTTTTTAATTGTTTTTGTTTCTCAATGGAGGAAAGCCAACAATGTCTGAATCCACAGCTGAAACAAGAGGGACATGTTTGGTTCTGGGACTTGAATTGTAAACAATGCTGAAGTGAAAGCTCCAAGCACAAAACAAGATGAAAGTACGGAGCCTGGCGAGTGCCAGGTGTTGAAATAAAAAGAATATCCGTTCCCTCGGTTTAGTCCGCCACATGCACACATTTGCAATAATAATGGATTCGTCAGGTGTTTTATTGAGCTGGGTCTTTTTGGTGCAGAACGTAGTGTGAGAATCTACACGGATCAACAAATTTAACTACAACACCAGATGGGAAACAAAGAGTTTAGAGGTTGTTTAAAGATTACATCATCAGGTGATAATATTAATAACATCAACAGTATTGTTTGTAGTGTCTTTTTTGTGGTTTTTATGATGGTTCATTTAGAATTTTCTTAYACTTGAAATTTCCACTTTGTTGAACCCAAACATCAATCAGTTGCTTGTTTTACAGAACGATGTGAATCATTGGCGAACTTATGAGCACTGTTTCTTTACATTTTCCCCAACGTCTTTTTTTATTTCTGTTCCTGACTCTTGCCAAGCTCTGTCAGAAATTTCAAACATGAAATAACGTGCATTAAAAAAATCCATTAATTAAAGCAGTGGCCCAAGATTAGATTGAAAGTGTGTCTGAAAACAAGAGCAGCGTTTTTYTACCTGCCAGAGTCCATGAAAACAGAAACTTCCAAAGGCCTGGRATAATGTTGACAGCTGCACGTTTTTTGACATAGAAGGCCTTTGCCTGGAAGAGTCATCATGTCAATGCAAAATGTGAACACTAAACATGTCTGTAAAMCGTCCACATCCTGTGTAGAGATTCTGGAAGCTTTTTGATATCAGACTAAAACTGGATTAGGGTAGACTGTGMAAGCTGCTGTGGACAGTGAGGTTCTTTAGTGTGTGCCTTTTTGTCTTTCACCCTTGTTATAATTCACTGCTATTCGATGCAAATCGACTCATCAACTTCTCGAACTTTTGAACTTTGTAAGCTTGTAATATATTGTGACGTCACAAAGTTTTTGCCCTACTCTTTTCACTTCCTTAACATCTGATTCACAACTTATTGTATGTTGTAAAGAAAAAAAACTTTAATTTAATGCAAAATGTAATTAAAAAAAGAAAATAAAATTCTTGTCATGAAGACTGTGATACGTGTTTTTTCACTGTTTTTTTTTCTCCTTAGGCTTACGTTAACCTTTAAAAATGTGTCAGCTTTTAAATTTTGTGCAACACCAAATCAAGTTTCACACACTCTTTTGAGAATAATTTTCTTTTGTGACCTTAAGGTCGTATCTCACTGGGTTGTAACTGTTGGGAGACTAGTTGGTGAATCAAAATGTTGGAGAAATTGTGAAAAAATTGAATTTCTCATAAGAGCCTCACTGAATTCTGAGTGTTTACGACCAGGTGACCAGCAAGCAACGACCCAACATTTTGAGCAGCCAATTTTTGAAAAATCATGGCTTTTTTGTGAGTTTTAAAACTCACAAAAGATGTGAAAAATACTCTTTTTAAAAAGAGTATTTTTGGCCGTTCAGAATACTTTGTTGCATACCTTTGCCTACATCATACCCACCTTGGCAGTCACCCCGACATGGACCACATTCAGAAGTACACGTTTTAAAAGAAGAAAGGCAAATTTGGACAATTTTTTTAATCATAACACAGTTTTTAGTCCTGGACATTTGCCTCAGGTGTCTTTGTCAGATAAGAGCTCTAGGTATTACTTTACAGAGTGCTTATGAGACAGGTATGCCCACAAGAACTCTATTTAAAAGAAAAATGGTCACAATAGTTTTTTGAACATGTTCAAAGCTCAAGCATCAGGACTGATTATCTCTTTGACACGCAAAAGTCATGAAGTTGCAGCTTATGTACAATGTTTAGTTTAGTCTCCCTGTAAAACCACATTCAATTTCTTAACATCTCAGAAGAAACAGGATAAATTTTACTTCAGATTTTAGACATCTGTATGAAAATACTTCAAGCCTAAGTGACTATTTTTTTTCAAAAGTGAAACAAGATTTAGTTGAAGAAAGTTTCATACATTCATTTTTAATAAACAGCAATTAAAACAACAGCCTACAGGACCAAAACTCCAGACAGAATCAGGATAGATGCAAAATAAAAGTACTACAATAAAAAAAAAATGGAGCTGACAAGGCAGTAAAATGAACAATAAACAAAATCAGGGCTGGAGCTTAGGAAGACAACAGGAAACTAAGCAGCAATGGTTCAAGACAGCTGCTTATAATAGCAGGATGTGAGACAAAGCTGAACAATCTGAGGAGTAAACAGACAAAAAAGACGATTACAGCGTGAGTGCAGCTGAACTGATTAACAGATGCAAGGCAGGTGAGTGATGAACAGGCAAACATCACAAAAAAAAAGAATGAAAATGCCAGATGATTACAACAAAACACAATGAAAAGAAGAGCAGATAATGCTTGAACAACAAATTCAAAAACCCAGATTCATGAGAAAGGATCTTGTATTTACATTTACTAAAGCTTTCAAAAGCTCTGTGTTTCTTAGGCTATGACACTAATTTAAAATAAAACGTTTTGATTCATTACCTACTTTCATCGACTCACAAAGTTAGAGCAAGGAATGCGTTATTTTTATTCTTTTGCACATATTTTTTTACTCTCCCTGCTCCAGTGCTGAGGCKGCCCAATTAAAGTGGCAGATAACATTTGAAGTTACCTTTATCACTTTAATAGGTGTTGCTCTGTTTAGTATGATTTTGAATAGTGGGACATAAAAACATTTATATTGTGACAAGTTATCGGTAAGTCCCAGCTGTTTGGCAAAAAATGAAAAAAGAGATTACATCACGATGGAAGAGTTTAAATCTCACTCACTTACTAACTTACTTACTTACTTACTTACTTACTTACTTACTTACTTACATATAAACAACAAAAGCCCATTAAAAAGCTAAGTAAATCAATTATTGAATGAAAATGATGCAGGAAGAAGAAAGAATTCTTATAATGTCAATGTCAATGTCAAATTTATTTATATAGCACATTAAAACAACAAAACTGACCAAAGTGCTTCACAGTTCAGTCAAGATTTGTATCAAAAAAACCAACAAAAAATCATAGATACAAATACAATACAGAAGCACAATATAATATATAAAAGCTCTAACTGAACCTCCAACTCGGTCTTAGTCAAAGGCCAAAGAAAACGGGTCTTCAGCAAAGATTTAAAAGCCTCAACAGTCTCTGCTGACCAAATATTAAGAGGTAAACTGTTCCACAGCTTTGGAGCAGCTATTGCAAAGGCCCGGTCACCTCTAGATTTCAGTTTGGATCTAGGGACATCTAACAGAAACTGCTTGGTAGACCTGAGTGCTCTGACTGGAGTGTAGATGTTAAGAAGATCCCATAAAAATGATGGGGCCAGACCATTAAAAACTTTAAAAGCCAACAGTAAAATCTTCAAATCAATTTGAATAGGAAGCCAATGGTGAGAAGCCAGGACCGGGGTTGTGTGTTCATGCTTTTTAGTACCTGTTAAAAGACGAGCTGCTGCATTCTGGACAGTCTGTAGGCGATGCAGAGATGATTTATCCAAGCCAGCATACAAAGAATTACAATAATCCAAACGAGTGGTAATAAAAGCATGAATCACCTATAATATCAAGACTTGGTTACATGTACCTAATAAAATAAAAACATACTGTATTTCTAACTGTTTGATGTTTTAGTCAGTGATGCCTCAATGAGCGCCATTTCTGAATGGCTCCATGCTGTTATTGTGAATTTTAAAATACAATTAATGCATCTGATAWGTATATATTTTTGGTTCAGTGGCACTTGCTGTGAATGCTGCATGTCCTAGCAGAAATCAACTAAACTTGCCTCCTGATCTGGTATTGTGACCTGTCAATCCAAGAGCTTAATGGCTCTTTTCCTTGACAGCAGCAACATGAAAGGTCGGCCAGCCGGGCTTTCAACGTCCCAGCCGGCTCGCCTTTACGTCAGCCAACCGGTCATTCAGTCAGCCATTAAGCCCCCACCCCCACCGGTCCCCCACTGCTCTAATCCACCTGACTGGGCTGTGGCTTGGCAGTGCTCATTTTGAGTGCCCTACAATCTGTGGTCACAACAAGTTTAGCTGTGTGCTAATCCACGCTGTTACATCCACCATTCATTATCCTCTCACTGATACGCGTCTGCATCCGTCRCCACTCTTAATGACACATAACAACCTGGTGCTATTTTAAAATGTGGTAGTTTCAGCGACAGTGACTCAGACACAAAGGATAAAAACACAAAGGCACAAAGAACAAACAAATGAGCTGTACAAAGAATAATTAGTTTCCCCGTTTTCTTATTTTTAATTTTATTTTAAAAAGGCTCACATAGATTTATATCAAATGAAAACAGACAGGGAGGCAGACAGCCTCTCTGTTTGTCTAGCAGACACAGACACATTATAACAATGCTGAATAATGTGTCCCTGGGGAAATAATATGGCCCTCTATAAGCAATTAATGGGAGTCAATAGGCCCCTTAATGGCTGTTCTCCAGGTTTTCATTAATGTATCATCACAGCAGTAAGTACATGTGAGGTGGTCAAAGTCATGTGACCTGAAGGACAGTTTGGTGAACATTGGAGGTTTTCTGGCAACTTGTGGTTTTCAGGTAAATTTGCAAAGAGTTTTAAAGTTTATCTTTTTTATTCTTAAGAATTGATTATTTATTGGCAAATATACAATTAATGCGCACTTTAATGGTTCTCAACCAACTGAATTAACAGAATGGGTCTCATTCTGGCTGAAGAGCAGAAAAGAATTTATTTAAAGAAAATCTTGCTTGTTCAAACTGAAAACTTTAAGGCATATATTTGCTAACAAAACAAAATTAATCATCAATAAAAAAAGTTTTTTTGACAATGAACGGAGCTAAAAGGCTGAAGTAACTGAAGTGAAAGGAATATTTTCCTCTCTAACTGTCACTTTCTGGTTCTTTTGATTTATCATTAAACATGTTTTTTGTAATATGAATGTATGAATGTATTCTACTTCCTCAGGCTCAAACTGCACCATCTTTTAATTCAAAAAATCTGAGAAATTGATTTTTTTTTTTCGATTTAGAGAAGAGTTCTGGAGTCAAACCAATGGAGAACCATTGTTCTAGAGCACATCAAAAACCAAAATATGTTTTTTATAAACTAATTTCTATAAAAAACTAAAACATATTAGCTGGATTAATATAATAACAAGCAACAGGTAATTTGTGTCCGGCGGTCAAATATGGATAAGTTACCATAAAGTGCTCTTAGATCCTACTTTAATCTTTTTTTATGCTGCAACTCAGTGCAGAGTGGACCTTTTGTTAGTCAGAAGCACACAGCAGACATGTAACAATTGCATGTGGCCCATTAACACATCTCAAGCACTTGAACAGCACTTGATGTACTTTTAAGTTATTTAGATGTGAAGTCAAGACAAGTAAAAAAAAACTAAAAACAAAAGAAAGGCATTCATGCTGAATGCTTGCGTATCATGAAAACTGGCAACCTCCGATAAAGACAGTGCGACTTCGTTTATGACATTTATCAGGGTTACGAAGTAAAAGGCCTCGAATAGTGTTGTCAATCAAACTGCAACAAATGGCAAAGCTTTCTGATTACATAACTATGTTTGTTTAAGCATCTTTTTTTCCTGTAAGACATTTCAGTTTTCCATTAGAAGTAAAACTGATTTAATTTCATGAACTTTGACCAGAAATCCATTAAAGCTTCTTTCAAATGATAAAAAAAAAGCTCTTATGACATGAAAGCTCAGCGGGTAAGAAAGATGTTTTGAAGAGAACTCTAATGTGGCGATAACAGCCCATTCTTGTCTGATTTCCAGCAACCATGCATGATTCAACACAAACTTCCCAGAACCCCCACCCACAAAAAACTAAACAAAAATAAATAACAGATTTTCAGTATGCATTCACAAGAATGAGAGGGTGAAATAAACTGTCTTTTGCACTCTTAAAAAAAAAGAGAGAGAAAGCCTTGGGCTGTAGAGAAGCAGTAAGAGGAGCACACCTCTGGGACTTCTGATGGCAGAGTGAGCAGGGAAAAGCGCCAAGCCTTGTTCTGCCGTTATAAGCCCGGCGCTGCCGCGCACTGAC